TATGGTAATTGATACCAGTGTAGTTAAGGTGCAGTGTGACATATTCACAGTGTGCAAGATGGAAGTCGATGTTTCACTTAGACGTGTTTTATGTATTCTTGTGGCTGCTCAAGCAGATGAGGGTCACCTATGTGCCTCATGAATCTTTAAACAGCTGCTTGGTGCAGCCGTGTCAATAGATATCTCTGAGGCTTTGGCTCCATCTCTCTCTTTCGTTCTCTCTTTCTCTTGCTGTCTTTCTCACACACACAGAGTGATTCAGAATAGCTTAGCAGCATAGCCTACATGCGAACGTCTGTTTACTGTACAGAGTAATGCCTTCAAGTAAACACATTTGCATTTGTGGCTGCGTTTACAGACTGTTGATGTATTTTTTTATGGAGAAAAGGGCTATTTACAGCAATGCTATCATTTACTCTATGCAACCTGTTTTAGTGAACTTTATTGTTTATCTGGAGTGCTATCTTTGTAAATGTCTGAATGTTGTTTCTGGAGGGTTTTATATGCTTATGGCTACATATTGATTCTAATCATTGTGTAATAAACGTTAAATTCATAAATGTTTTGGTTTTATTATAAGAACCTAGTTTATAGAAAGTACTGTATTTTTTTTTTTTTTTTTTTTTTTTTTTTTATTGTAAATCACTCACATATTGCCTAATTACTTGAAATGATGATGATTTCAGTTGATGGGAAAGAATATAATTATTATTACTATTATTTTCAGGTGTACTAGTCATATTAGTTTTTGCTGTTATTTCAAAATTGGTGGTGAGAATGAATTTTTTGTGGTATTGACTACTGAAATGTTGGCATTGTGTCAACCCTTGTGCTTGCCATGACATTTTTTTTTATCATTTTCCTCAAAGAATTCATCATTTTAGATTCCTTGATTAAAGAGACAGAATGGATGATTTCATATGAAAGCCTTTCGTTACACATTAAGTAGATGGATTAGCAATTCCCAGCTGATCTCTCTTCTTTCACATTGAGAAAAGAGGGTAAATATCACCATGGCTTTGTAATTAAAAGCAGTATGTGAGGGACAGAGAAAGGGTTTATTTTGGCAGTGGACTATCTTTAAAGTGACACTACAGCCATTCCAGCAAATTAATGAAAAGGCCAAAATCCTGTTTAGTTGAGGAGGCCCTACTTTGTATGGAGCAGGAGTGTATTCTCCATCTGTATGCTTATTGTTCAGCCCAAATCATTTGATTTCCTGAGACTCCTCGTTTCTTTGGGCAACTAACTGAGGCTCGTATTTACATTTCATCCTGAAGTCCTTTTACCGCCAAAGCCAGACAGCTGGCATAACAGAAGACCTTGAACTGTAATGAATTCTAGTGAGATAATGTGTGCATTTGTAAGAGAACTTAAAATGCTTATATACATATATATAGGAAAAGGTATCAGTTCAATTACACCAACTTTAGACTAGCTCCTCTTTACCACCAGAGGTTGAATAGAAGTTAGATGCATTATTCAGTATGCACTGTCCTGTGGAATTGGTCAATAGTTTTATTTGTTTCGTAGAGTGAAACCATGACAAATCTAATGCCAGTTAAATAAATAGCTGGAAAAGGTGTAGATTTTTTCTCTCCAAATGCTCCTGTTTGTTGATCTGTTTTGAATTAGACATACAGAACATGAGGCTATGTACACTTTTAAAGTAATGGTTCACCCAAAAATGAAAATTTGCTAAAAGTTTACTCACCTTCAAACCATCAAGATGTAGATGAGTTTGATTCTTCATCAGAACAGATTTGGAGAAATCTAGCATTACATAAATTGGTCTCCAATGGATCCTCTACAGTGAATGGGTGCCGTCAGAATAGGAGTTCAAACAGCTGATGAAAACATCACAGTAATCCACAAGTAGTCAACACTACTTTAGTTCATCAGTTGACATCTTGTAAAATGAAACGCTGCATATTTGTAATAAATTCATCATTAAGATGTTTTTAACTTCAAACAGTTGCTTCTGGCTAAAATACGAGTCGTCTATCCACAATATTCATTTCTCCAGTAAAACAGTCGTCTTGAGTGAATCAGGTGAGAAATATGCACAGATCAAGCACTGTTCTAAAAACAGTTCTAAAATGTGAGAGGACAACAGGAGATGGACGTTTTCACTGGAGGAAGAGTTATTATGGATTATGGACTTGTATTTTAGCTTGAAGCGATGGTTTAAAGTTAATGATGGATTTTTTTTCCCTTAAAAACACGTAGCTTTTCTTTTTACAAGACATGTAAGTTAAAATGTCAAAGAGACATAAATGTACACAGCATATTCACTATAGTCTGTTATCCAATCTCCAATGTTTTGTTTTTTTTGACAGTTCTCACATGCAAGTATGATAAGCATGTGTTTTCCGCCTCCACTTTCATGAGTTTTCTCATGATGGAGGATGATTCACCATGAGTGCTATCTGGCATCTAATTTGGTGCTGGGTGAAGAGAAATAATTTCCTATCATCCCTCAACTGCACAGACACCATCTGTGTTATCCAGCACGGTGCATCTGAAACTCCTGAATATTCATCTCTCCCTCTCATCTGATTAGATTAGTCCCCAATCAGTTTGTGAGTGGAATGATTCTGTATTTGACAATGCAGTTTTATTAGGATAATCACAGTTTGTCACAGCCCCTCACTCCACTGTGTTAATAGAGCAATGCATGTGACATGGGCCCCCCTCAATTGTTTTGTTGCTGTATTTACTCATGGATAATGGAAAAGCGCCTCATGAATGCATAATTAGAGAGATGTTGGCCAGTATATCTGTACAGTTTTAATTGAAAATTAGCATGGCTATTAATCAACAAATTTGGGCCCCAAAATCCCTCTGACACTGTACAATTGAGTTGTGTGTGTATGTATGGCCAAGGATTGAAACAAATTACATTTTAATTGAAAAGCCTGTCCTGTATCTTCTCCTCCAGCTCTCTGAAGAAAAGCCACGAGGTTGTGAGGTTGATAAGCCTGCCTTTTGTTCTCACGTTTGAAATATGAGTATGCAAAGTTAAGGTCACTTACATTTGACTTTCCCTAATTTAGAATGTCCTTGGGGCTTGGAAAGAGTTGGTCTAGAAAAAAAAAATGTTTCGGCACATTTCCATGACCGAGAAAAAGGAAAACCTCTGTGAGAACAATGAGATGCTTTTGTGAAATGTGAAAAGCATAAATGCATTGGCGGATAAATCATGAGCTTGTTATATCTTAAGGGATGACAATCCCCCATTAAATGACCCCCTTAATTATAGCGTAATTTTATCTTATGAAGTCTAAATGAAAGCTGATGAATAACCTCGACTCTTCCAGAGGATGTTTTCAGTGGTGTAGGATCAGAGCTCGGAGGAAACTGGGACTCCGGAGATTTGTAAGAGGTCCTGTCACATGAGCTATAAATCTCACGCTAAGTGGCTGTGTTGCAGTTATGGTAATTGATACCAGTGTAGTTAAGGTGCAGTGTGACATATTCACAGTGTGCAAGATGGAAGTCGATGTTTCACTTAGACGTGTTTTATGTATTCTTGTGGCTGCTCAAGCAGATGAGGGTCACCTATGTGCCTCATGAATCTTTAAACAGCTGCTTGGTGCAGCCGTGTCAATAGATATCTCTGAGGCTTTGGCTCCATCTCTCTCTTTCGTTCTCTCTTTCTCTTGCTGTCTTTCTCACACACACAGAGTGATTCAGAATAGCTTAGCAGCATAGCCTACATGCGAACGTCTGTTTACTGTACAGAGTAATGCCTTCAAGTAAACACATTTGCATTTGTGGCTGCGTTTACAGACTGTTGATGTATGTTTTTAATGGAGAAAATGGCTATTTACAGCAAAGGTATCATTTACTGCATGAAATCTGTTTTATTTAACTTAATTGTTTATCTAGAGTGCAGTCTTTGTACATTTTTGAATAATGTTTCTGCAGGGTGTTTGTTTATGGCTGCATATTGATTTTAATCAGTGTGTAATATTTGTTTATTTAATTTTATAAATGTTAAATTCATTATTTTGGGGGGTTATATATTCAGAACTTGGTCCTGCAAACTTATTGCATTTTGTGTATGTGTTCTGCATTTATTTGATCAAATACAGTAAAATGGCTGTTTTCTACTTGCATATATTTGACAGTGTAATTTACTTCTGTGATGCAAAGCTGAATTTTCAGCAGCCTTTCAGTCTTCAGTGTCACATGATCCTTCAGAAATAATTCTAATATGCTGATTTGGTGCTCAAGTAACATTTGTATTATTATCATCAATGTTGTGAATGGTTTTGGTGCTTAATATTTTTTCAGGATTCTCTGATGAATAGAAAGAACAACATTTATTTGAAATAGAAATATTTTGTAACATTACATATTTGCTGTCGCTTTTGTTCAATTTGATCTGTCCTTGCAGATTAATAATTAAGTATAGTAATAATTTGTCATTTCCTCTTTGTTAGTATTTCTACTTTGAAACAAATGCCAATTTGCTTAAATGGTTTCTGCAACCTTACCAGAACTTTACTTTTACAGTAAGAGATGTAATGGCTTTAAGTTGCTTATTAAATTAGCATTCATTAGGATAGGAAAGAGGAAGGACGAATTGTAAATGAGAAACCTGCAATCATTCTATTGGCATTTCTCTTAAAGAACCACTGACAGAAAATGGTGCTGAAGGAAAGTTTTTGTCACAAAATGAAATCACTCTGGGGCTGGCAGTGCATTTTAAGCTAAATTCAGTCAACTGGATTGTTTCCCATTTTCATTTGCATCTCTCAAAACTTTGCAAATTAAAGCAAGTGACATTTGTCTGAACCACATAGATTTGCATACAACTGTCTTAGCAGTTACTAAAGTAGTTACTGATAATACAGTGAAACTGTGGGGATTATATGTTTTTGCAAAATAACACCAGACGTGTATGTAAACCATCATTCTTTCCTGTTCTTTAGGTAAGGTGGAGGTGATAGTCAGATGTCCTCTAAATCACATACAGTGTATCGGGACGAGAAAGTGCATTCACTTCAACAAGCTCTGTAATGGGGCGAAAGACTGTGAGGACGGTTTTGACGAAGGAGTCCACTGTCGAGGTGAGTACACTAAATTATAATGTCTTTGCCTGATATTAGCTATGCAGATGTTTATTTTGATCTGTCAATATCAATAAGCTCACTGTTTGGACAAAAACAGTATTTATATTGACAGCCTAATGCTGCATATCTTTACATAAATTGGCTTTACGCTAATGGAAGGCAAACAGGTGAATGACGCCACAGGTGTGATGTTGGACACAATTAACTCTTGTTCACAATCATCCAAGCCACAATAACAAGCAGGTGGAGCCACCTGGACTCTGTGATATGACAATACCGACTCAGCAGTTGGCATTGGTTGGATGCCTGTTAGTAGAGGCGGCACACCTCAGGCTGGCCAAGAGTGCGACCTTTGGTAAACTGGAAGAGTGTGGCACCCAGCTGGGCAGTGCCAGGAGCAGCTGATCCTGCCCTTTGATCCAGAGCCTAGCTGAAAACAGGCCAGTGACCCATATAAACAACACCAGATTATAATGTCAGGTGGATTGCAGTGGTTGGAGAAACAACACGTTTTTCTAGACTTGAGAGACTGGTGGAAGAATAATAATTACTTTTGAGTTGCCTGAGAAATGTGACTCATGTACATGCTGTTAGGTTTGAATAGACAGTTGTATCAAAAATTTATTTATTTATTTATTTATTTATTTAACAAACCTGTTTCTGCTATGGAATAAAAAAAAAGTATTCAGACACAATTCAGACTTTTTTCTTCTTGCTGTTCTTCATCTCTTGCAGTTCTTCATCTCACAGTTCTGCGTTTAAATGTCACAATTCTGGGATTATATGTCGAAAAAAGTCAGAGTTGTAAAATAAAGTCAGAATTGTGATATAAGAAGTCACGTTTTTTATCCCGTAGAAACAAGGTTTCATAATTTATTTATAATACATTAAATAATTAAAAAAAATAATTTAGTTTAGTTCAGTTAATTGTAAATATGCAAATATTTTAGATTAATTATTTCTAGATTTGGGAAATGTTATTAAAAAATGCTAAATAGAAGCATTTTTACTACAGATCACTTACTTTTGGATTCCACCGTAAATTCACTTCAAATTAATTATATTTCCTCTCATAAAAACAGTGGACAGGTGCCTGTTTTTTTTTTTGTATCTGTCATTGGTAAATAAAAATGATATACCCTTTGCCACTATATTAGCTCATTCCTTATGAGCCAAACCTCACTTTTCAGGTTTATCTGCCCTAAAGGAAGGGCTAACCTCCAAACATCTTTCTCTGACAGAAGAACCAATCGCCTTCCAGCGCAAGGAAAGAGATTGGTCTAGTTCAGTGGGCAGAAAGATTAAGGTTTTGACTTGACATATTGCAGATAAAGAAAGAGGTGCTCAGAGCCTGAAGTGATGTATCACAGAAAGTTATCCTTGGGTGTTAGGAAGCATTAAGAGACATTATGTTCATTGTTCTCCTCCTCTATTTGTTTGTTGTTAGATACAGCTAATTAAGCAACGAGTGCCTGGGGCAATAAATCCTTTTTTTTTTCTTCATTCCACTCTTGCTCAGTTTGCAGACTTCTTAGTTGCTGTTTACTTCACTGCAGTCATAGAGCAAATGTTTTTCAAACGTCTTCATTCTATTTAGTTTGTCACCTCTAATTTGATGATTTTGCAGCTTGTGTGCAAGGAAAATTACAGTAGTTTTTAAACCACATGCAGATGTTAGTAATGATACGTAAGGCAGATTTACAGGTTACACAGAAGTGGAAAGTCTGGACGTGTTTTTGTTGGTGATTTAACTGTCTGCTGAACTAAGCAACATAGTATATTTCATCAAAGGGTCTATTTGAATGAGTAAGCACTGGCCACTGAGGAGTTCGGGCCGGGACATTCGACATGTGTTTCCAACCATACACCTGCAGACGGGAGGAAATGAGGTCACCGCGGAGAAGTTGGAGCATGGCAGCTGGGTCTTCGCTGACACTTTCCCTCCCCCTCTCATAATGAATTTACATAATGAATCCCAGGAGGGCATTACACAAAATTGTGCCCATATGGAAGACAAAGACAGCATTCTATTTCACCTTCACACACTTTGGCAATTCTTTATTTTAATGATTGTCTTTCAGTGGAGTGGAGATTTTCAGAGATGGCATGAAAAAAAAAAATTCTCGTTCCTTCCTTTCTTTTTTTTCCAGCACCTGGCTGCCTCTTCTTCACCGTGCAAAATCTGGCTTCTCTCAGCCAGCACTGATACTTGACAGTAGGAGATGAAAAGAGGGCACATTTAAATTTAGGAGCTCTTTAGTGGAATTGTCAGAAGTTCCTCACAAGCTGTAAGCATACAAGTGGCAAGAAAATGTCTGTGGTGACAGCATTTGGTCATAGTTACACGTGGTTATGTACATAAGTTCTTTCAAAGGTGCTTTCAAAGACTTTTTTGACCATTTATGCTGCAACTCAACGTCAAATTATTATTATTATTATTATTATAGGGATTATGTATAGATCTTATTTTTTTCCCCACAGATTTGATTGACGCTCGTGCTGAATGTCCTTGTAAATCTCTCACTATGCTGTATTATCACCAAATCTTGTATTCAATCTTTTTTGTCATCTTGTTTTCTTTCAGTTAGCACATGTTTTATATTTCTTTTTGGATCCGACTGGCCGTAGGCTTTATTGAGTGCGTTTACATGAATGTTCTTAAACCAGTTATGCTTAATAAGCTGCATGTAAACGTGTTGAACTGCTTCCCTTTATTGATGTAAGGTCACAATTCGCTTAAGAATAAACCGATCGACACAGGTGGATTTTTGCCCATTATTCTGATTTCTCTAAGTATATAAACACCTTAACCTGCATTTTGTCGTCTTATTAAAGTGCACAGAGAGAGTTTTGCAGCAGAGGAGGAGGAAATATATTGCAAACTCTGACTTTTTCTTGACCCCAAAAATACTAAAAAAAAACCAAGGTTCCCTTTCATGGGAACTTCGAACTGCGTCCTCTAGGGGTCGCTATGGGGAACGCCTCGTCGTGACTCGTATCTGAAGCATACATTGAAAAAACACCAACTCGTTGGCCGGCGACAGCCATGACGTCACTACCGGTGCGACTACAGTATAAATCGGTGCCGGGAGCTACACATCATTCACTTCTTCGTCTGAAGCTTGCGTCCGCAGCATGGCAAGAAACCTAGAGGACGCAGTGTCTCGTTCCCTACTCAGGGAACCATGGTTACATAAGTAACCCGAGACGTTTTCTCATCTTGTGCAGCCATAGGACAAGTGGTACAGTTGAAGATGACAATGACAATGATAGTTAGGCTAGTGAATGATGGTTAGGTTAGAAAGCAGGCTAATATCAGAACAAATTTTATTTGCATTGTCTTTATGCTGAAATGCAATAACAAATGAACACCCTTAGGTAATTCCATAGATTGTGCTTGTATTATGTTCAGTTCAGTCATTAAAAAGCAGCTCATGATTCCTTTTCTCAAAAGCAATTACATACCAATTAGAGTAATTACAGAAGTAGAAAATAAAAAAAGAAGAAAGCTTAGAGAAAGTATCTTTCAGTACAGAAGTCTCGTCACAGCCCTGAAATGTGATTACAGAAATAATTATCCATCTGTTGTACATTAAAACTTACTGTTATAAAGTTTTGATCTACCATTTGATCCATTGATGCTCCTCTCCCCCTTAAAGCAGAAACAATTATATCTATCTATGCTTAAAGACACACAAAGCAATTAACCAGCATTCAAAGTTTGTTTTAATGATGTCTAATTTAATTTGATAATATTTCAGTACCGTTCAAAATTTGGGGTCAGCTAAATTTGTAAAATGTTTTTGAAATTAGTCAATATATTATTATAATATATTGATTATTTTAATATATAATATTAAAATATTAATATATAATATAACTTTGATATCACCATATTTTGATATAGTTGTACAAATTTGGGGAAGACATTGTTAATAGATAACGCTGCTTTTGGAAAGTAATGAAAAACCATGTCACAGATGTACCTTCCCTCCCTTGCTTTGCCTCTCAACAGCATTCAATTATTTCACTTGATTAACTTTTAATTTCCAACAATTCATATAAACAAACAAACAGTATCCCCTAGGGTCAGGATGGCAGCGGTAACCACAGTACAAAAATGCAGTGCAAGCCATTTCCTGTTTTCTCTTCAGTTTAAAGAAAAGTAGAGTGCATTCACCTACACATAAGCTATTAGCATATTTATTGAATTTGTTTTATGTAATGATACGGAATATCATCCAGAACGCATTAAGCATTCCCCTCGCTAGCTGCTGGTCATTTTCAAATGATTTTCTGTGATGCTGTACACTATGTGGCTGTTCACTGTTGTTTGAAGATGGCTCATATTGTTAGTCTCAGTGGGTCACGCACCTTTCATTATTGGGCTACCATAAATGTGAAAGTCAAGTACCTCATTTGAATAGTATAATGACAGGGTAGCGCTCAACTATGCTTCCTTTGGGGATAGTCCTAAATCATAATGTAGGATCATTTTTGTGCAACAATAAGCAATCACCGTTGACTTTTTGACCCATCTGAGTTTATAAAGGCATAGGCTAACTCTAGAGGATTAACCCGGGACATCTTAATCCAGGATCCTTCGGTCGTTTTTAGTCTCATAGTCTGATTATTTTCACTAATAGGATTATCTAGAGGAGAAGGAACAGTCTTGTTGGTAATGATCGCAGCATAGCACAGCTTTGCTAAATATGCTTATGGTTTTTATGCATGACTTTTGTGGTGCTTTAAACTGAAGGTTGTGTGATTATCCCATAATGCAACTGAAATCCCATAATGCAGCATGTTACATGCCAACACATGCCAAAAAAAAACAATTTTCAGTTAGAAATTGCTAATTGCAAATTTCAAGGAAATGACAAGTAGCACATTCAAATATACATAGTTTTTTTGGGAAAATATACTCCAATAATCTTTGTTTTATTTACATATATTTTACAGTAAATGCTTGATCATTTAACAAGTTAAATTAGACT